TACTTCATTGTTGTCTATAATCTGTGTATAAATCAGTTACCGTTTTGCGTTAAAAAAAGTCAATGTAGTTTTAAGTAATTGACTGCTGCCGACTGTAACTAATTGACTGTAACCACCGAGGATGTAGAAAGATATTATAGAAATTCAAGTTCAAAGTTTTCCTTCTGTTCTGGAGAATAATTAATTCATCCCTATGATATTATTCATATTTCTGGGATAAACCCAGTAAGGAATTGGATATAGTACAAAAGCAATAGTTGACAGCAGTTACAATAATATTAAAACGGGTCATGCATTTTCATTCAGTGAAAATGAAGTAAGTTAAATCCAAAGATTTTCCATGGAATTAACATTACAAAAACAATACCTGTGTAACTTTTGAACAAGTCAGTGAGATGCTTGTGAGTCACTGCAGAGTCACAAAAGAATTATTATCACAAATGCATAGGAAAGAATTTTTGTCGATACATGATTTTGTTGCTATCAATCAACAGCAAACATTGAAACTAACTGTCAACAGTTGCATTTACTTCCTTTCTTAAATTAGAATTTCTATTTTATCATTTGCATGTTGATTTATTTTCTCTCCTTCTTAAGTTCCTTCTATGCCATGTTCCTATAGCTCGAGAGAGTGAGAAGGCAAAATATGTTCCCGTGCCTTCAGTCATGTCCTGTTTGACTCAGCCATTGTGAAGTACGACTGAGTAGTGTAGCTAGAATACTTTCCACATCTTGACTTGTTATTATTCAGCAATAAAGCAACTGTGACTAAAACCTCTCAAATGGAGACTTAATGTTGTCTAACATCATAGCAATGTGAGACAACAAGGTGCAGAGCTGGATGAACACAGCAGGCCAAGCAGGATCAGAGGAGCAGGGAGGCTGACATTTTGGGCCTAGACTCTTCATCAGAAATGGGGGAGGGGAAGGGGGTTCTGAAATAAATAGGGAGAGAGGGAGAGGCGGATAGAAGATGGATAGAGGAGAAGATAGGTGGAGAGGAAACAAACAGGTTGAAGAGGCGGGGATGGAGCCAGTAAAGGTGAGTGTAGGTGGGGAGTTAGGGAGGGGATAGGTCAGTCCAGGGAGGACGGACAGGTCAAGGGGGCGGGATGAGGTTAGTAGGTAGGAGATGGGGGTGCGGCTTGAGGTGGGAGGAGGGGATAGGTGGGAGGAAGAACAGGTTAGGGAGGCGGGGACAAGCTGGACTGGTTTTGGGATGCGGTAGAGGGAGGGGGGATTTTGAAGCTTGTGAAATCCACATTGATACCATTGGGCTGCACGGTTCCCAAGCGGAATATGAGTTGCTGTTCCTGCAACCTTCGGGTGGCATCGTTGTGGCACTGCAGGAGGCCCAGGTCGTCTGAGGAATGGGAGGGGAGTTGAAATGGTTCGCGGCTGGGAGGTGCAGTTGTTTATTGCAAACCAAGCATAGGTGTTCTGCAAAGCGGTCCCCGAGCCTCCGCTTGGTTTCCCCGATGTAGAGGAGGCCACAACGGGTACAGCGGATGCAGTATACCACATTAGCAGATGTGCAGGTGAACACCTGCTTGATGTGGAAAGTGTTCTTGTGGCCTGGGATGGGGGTGAGGGAGGAGGTATGGGGGCACTTCCTGCAGTTGCAGGGAAAAGTGTCGGGTGTGGTGGGGCTGGAGGGGAGTGTGGAGCGGACAAGGGAGTCACGGAGAGAGTGGTCCTTCCGGAAAGCAGATAAGGGTGGGGAGGGAAAGATGTCTTTGGTGATGGAGTCGGATTGCAGATGGCGGAAGTGTCGGAGGATGATGCGTTGGATCCGGAGGTTGGTGGGGTGGTAAGTGAGGTCGAGGGGGATTCTTTTTAGGTTCTTATTGCGTGGACGGGGTGTGAGGGATGAGTTGCAGGAGATGTGGGAGACACGGTTGAGGGCGTTCTCGACCACTGAGGGGGGCAAATTACGGTCCTTGAAAAACGAGGACAACTGAGATGTACGGGAATGGAATGCCTCATCCTGGGAGCAGATGCGGCGGAGGCGAAGGAATTAGGAATAGGGGATGGCATTTTTGCAGGAAGGTGGGTGGGAGGAGGTGTATTCTAGGTAGCTGTGGGAGTCGGTGGGCTTGAAATGGATATCGGTTTCTAGGTGGTTGTCCGAGATGGAGACAGAGAGGTCCAGGAAGGAGAGAGAGGTATGAGAGATGGTCCAGGTAAACTTAAGGTTGGGATGGAAGGTGTTGGTGAAGTGGATGAGCTGTTCGAGCTCCTCGTGGGAGCACGAGGCGGCGCCGATACAGTCATCAATGTAACGGAGGAACAGGTGGGGTTTAGGGCCAGTGTAGGTACGAAAGAGGGATTGTTCCACGTAACCTACAAAGAGGCAGGCGTAGCTTGGGCCCATGCGGGTACCCATGGCCACCCCCTTTGTCTGTAGGAAGTGGGAGGAATTGAAAGAGAAAATGTTGAGGGTGAGGACGAGTTCGGCTAAGCGGATGAGGGTGTCAGTGGAGGGGGACTGATCGGGCCTGCAGGACAGGAAGAAGCAGAGGGCCTTTAGGCCATCTGTATGGGGAATGCTGGTGTAGAGGGACTGGACGTCCATGGTAAAGATGAGGTGTTGGGGACCGGGGAAATAGAAGTTCTGGAGGAGGTGGAGGGCATGGGTGGTGTCACAGACATAGGTAGCGAGTTCCTGGACCAAGGGGGAGAAAATGGAGTCCAGATAGTTGGAGATAAGTTCGGTGGGGCAGGAGCAGGCGGAGACAATGGGTCGACCAGGGCATTCAGGTTTGTGGATTTTGGGAAGGAGATAGAAGCGGGCGGTGCGGGGTTGGGGAACGATGAAGTTGGAGGCCGTGGGTGGGAGGTCACCTGAGGTGATGAGGTTGTGGATGGTTTGGGAGATGATGGTTTGGTGCTCGGGGGTGGGGTCATGATCAAGGGGGCGGTAGGAGGAAGTGTCGGAGAGTTGGCGTCTGGCCTCGGCGATGTAGAGGTCAGTGCGCCATACTACAACTGCGCCTCCCTTGTCCGCGGGTTTTATGGTGAGATTGGGATTGGAGCGGAGGGCTGCACGTTCTGAGGGGGAGAGGTTGGAGTGGGTGAGAGGGGTGGAGAGGTTGAGGCGATTGATATCACGACGGCAGTTGGAGATGAAGAGGTCAAGGGAGGGTAGGAGGCCTTGGAGTGGTGTCCAGGAGGAGGGGGTGTGTTGGAGGCGGGAGAAGGGGTCAGTAGAGGGAGGGTTAGGTTCACGGTTGAAGAAGTAAGCGTGGAGGCGGAGGCGGCGGAAAAACTGCCCTATGTCCAAACGTGACCGGTATTCGTTGATCTGTGGGTGGAGGGGGACAAAAGTGAGCCCTTTACTGAGGACTGACCGTTCGTCCTCAGTAAGGGGTAGGTCTGAGGGGATGGTGAAGACTCGGCAGGGCTGGGTGTTGCTGTCTTCTCTGGAGCTGCTGGCTGTGGGCCGAGCGACGTCAGCGTCGGCTGTGGGCGGAGTTGTGTCGGCGGTGGGCGGAGTTGCGTTGGCGTAGGCTGTGGGCGGAATACACTTCCGCCATCTGCAATCCGACCCCACCACCAAAGACATCTTTCCCTCCCCACCCTTATCTGCTTTCCGGAAGGACCACTCTCTCCATGACTCCCTTGTCCGCTCCACACTCCCCTCCAGCCCCACCACACCCAGCACTTTTCCCTGCAACCGCAGGAAGAGCTACACCTGCCCCCATACCTCCTCCCTCACCCCCGTCCCAGGCCCCAAGAAGACTTTCCACATCAAGCAGATGTTCACCTGCACATCTGCTAATGTGGTATACTGTATCTGCTGTTCCCATTGTGGCCTCCTCTACATCGGGGAAACCAAGCGGAGGCTCGGGGACCGCTTTGCAGAACACCTATGCTCAGTTCGCAATAAACAACTGCACCTCCCAGTCACGAACCATTTCAACAATCCCTCCCATTGCTCAGACGACATGTCCATCCTGGGCCTCCTGCAGTGCCACAACGATGCCACCCGAAGGTTGCAGGAACAGCAACTCATATTCCGCTTGGGAACCGTGCAGCCCAATGGTATCAATGTGGATTTCACAAGCTTCAAAATCTCCCCTCCCCCTACCGCATCCCAAAACCAGTCCAGCTCATCCCCGCCTCCCTAACCTGTTCTTCCTCCCACCTATCCCCTCCTCCCACCTCAAGCCGCACCCCCATCTCCTACCGACCAACCTCATCCCGCCCCCTTGACCTGTCCGTCCTCCCTGGACTGACCTATCCCCTCCCTACCTCCCCACCTACACTCACCTTTACTGGCTCCATCCCCGCCTCTTCAACCTGTTTGTTTCCTCTCCACCTATCTTCTCCTCTATCCATCTTCTATCCGCCTCCCCGTCTCTCCCTATTTATTTCAGAACCCCCTTCCCCTCCCCCATTTCTGATGAAGGGTCTTGGCCCGAAACGTCAGCCTCTCTGCTCCTATGATGCTGCTTGGCCTGCTGTGTTCATCCAGCTCTGCACCTTGTTGTCTTGGATTCTCCAGCATCTGCAGTTCCTACTATCTCTGATTCAATCATAGCAATGTGCTCAGGTTTTTGTGCAGTATCACTATACCCTCCTCTGGCCACTTCTGGGGAACATGTTCTGCTGAACTCAACTGTCCCGTTTATCAAACAATGCGGTCAGAGTTCTGAGTGTCAGTACACATTGGGGATGATTGGCAGGCTGAACTTTGAGAAGCACGGGATAAAAATCAACCTCAAACAATTAAATTTGCAAACTTTCAAGATTTAAATTCTGCTAACATTTTTCATGCAGCTGAGTATTGATATTGTTACAGCTACTCTGCAACAGACAGCACAGAAATCAACAACAACAAAAAATCAAATAGAAGCTGCTTCACGTTCTAAAACTGTAACTTTAAAAGCAGGAAATACAAAACAATTTTGCAAACATCTACAGGCTGGTTTTATTGTAAATGCGCAATAAGTTGACTAATGTGTAAACCGTGTTTTAAAAAAAATGCTACAACAAACCTTTGTTGTCGATAATCAGAGGTCTCGGATTGAGAAGCTTCCTCTATAAGAGGAGCTATTATTTTTTCTGCTACATCTGTCAGAACAGAGAAGGTTGGCTCCACAATAAAATCAATAAAACCTGTTTGAAATAAAAATTCCAAGTGATTAACAGAACACAGCTCGATGAAAGGATTTTCTCAAATATAAATTAAGTTTTAAACATCGTCAAATATGTATAACATTAAACTTTGTTAAAACAAATTAAGTTGGAAGTTTGAAAATGCAGACATGTTTTAATTACTGATTAAGATTTCACCAAAATGTGTAGTTATTGGGTGGCGGAAAGAAGGTCTTATGGTGCAGTGAATAATATCCCCGTTTTCAAGCCGAAACAGTCAGGCCCAGGGTTTGAGGGCCACAGATTCATAATCCAGCCAAAATTATCAGCCTGCAAATCCTTCCAAGACTCTTAAGACCAGCAGCAAGAGCAGGACAGACACTGCAGCATGAAGCTGCACCAGCAAACTGTGAAAACTGCATAAGGACTGGATCTGGCCATGTCGTATGCCTATCAAGGATTACATGGTGGACTAAAATGGAGTGTCTTCTTGGCACCCACTGATTGACAAAAATATTATGGAGCTAGGAACAGGAGGAGGGTATTGACTGTTGGCTATTTGACCATTCAATTAGATCATAGCTAATCTGTATCTTTGCTCTGTCTGGCTACCTTGGTTCCAGAATCCTGATAGTCTTAGAATCAAAGATTCACTACAGTGCAATGCAGATAGAGGCCATTCGTCCCATCAAATTTGCATCGACCCTCTGAAGAGCACCCACCCAGACCCAAACCACTCCTTTTTCCTTGGCTTGCCCACCTAGCCTGCACATCCCTGGACACCACAGGGCAACTTAGCATGGCCAATCCATCCAGCCTGCACATCTTTGGACTGTGGGAGGAAACCGGAGCACCCAGGCGAAACCCACGCCGACACAGGGAGAATGAGCAAACTCCACACAGACAGTCGTCCGAGGGTGGAACTGAAGCTAATCCCTGGTCACAGAGTAAACACTGAGCCATGTCGCTGCCCCTTGGTTAAATGATTTCGGTGGGAATATAAATCTGAGAGCTGGCCAACAGAGAACATTGTGAGTCTACAGGAAAAGATGTACATTTTGGCAGATTAAACACTCACCTCCCAACCACCCCCCCTCCACATTTTTTGATCACTAGCAACCTTCACCCTCTTGGTCCTACAGCTGAGTGTCACTTATTTCATAAGAGCTGGTCACATTGGTGGTGTCTCTCAAAGCTATGGTTTCCATATGGAAATGGGAAGGTGGCCCTACCCCCACCTGATTAAATAGCCACCACCTCCAAACTTGCCAAGAGTGTGCAAGACTCAACCCATGATGTTCAGTGTATTACAAAAATCTCCCTTAAACCCATCCAAGATACAACGTATGCTTATGGTCATTAATTGATTCTGAAAATTAACTTAGACATTTGTTTTCTTTGTGCAGCGTCCTATCCTATGTTCATAATTGTACCCTCGGGGCTAAGAACCACAGAGAGACGTATGTTCACTGAAACCATATGCAGATGATCTCCCAAAGTTGGTGTAAATAAATATATGTTAGCCCCATCACTGTCTATGAGATTTGCAAATATCCCCCTGAAAGATCTGTTACTTAAATGAGATCTATATTTCTTAATGGCCAACGTGAAAATTGAGTACCAGGAAGTTTTCAGTGCAAGTTATTCTTTGGCTATGATTAGAATGGATAAGAATGGAACTGGGTCAGAGCAATTGCTGGATGCCAATGGAGAGGAAATGGAAGGAGGATGGTGTGATCAACTGCATCAAAAACTTGTAGGCTACTTGAGAGGATGTTGACCTTTTCATAGTCACATAGCATGCAATTTAAGACTTTGAGAATGGTACTGTGACGAGAGTGGAAACCTGAGTGCAAGTATTCAAGGATAGAGTGCTGGGAAAGATGGGCACTCATTTGGGATGTGGTAACATGCTTGAGGACTCTGGCGAGGAAAGGGAGCTTGGTGATGTAGTGATACTTTGCAAGGACAGAGAAACTAAGGTTTGATTGAATGAGGAGGTGTGATGAATGCAGACTAGAAGAAGAGGCATTTAGCATTTGGGAAGAGAGAACCATTTATAATATTGGCTCTCCTGAGTGCCAGGAAGGAAAGTTGAATGATCGGCAGTTTAATGGGAGTAGGTTCAAGGAACTAGAGGTGGCTGGGCTCAGAGAGCACATGAGGAAAAATTAGGGATAAAGTACAAAAAGATGCAAGCTCATGGTTAAGCAGGAGCCAAACCTCCAAGGATGTTGGACTAGATAAACTGGGAAATTACAAGAAACAGTAGAGACATCTGATTCAATGGTCTGAGATTTAGGTTCAAAGAAAACCAGACTTCCTGACACTTTTTGTTGGAGGTGCAAGTGGAAAAGATGGGGTTGGGGGTAAGAAGTAGAGCTGCAGAGGAAAAAGCCAGGTTATCTTTGCACCCCAGATGATCCCAGTACAGAGAAATCTTAACAAGTAAGAGCAAGCCCTAATAAGTGAAAACTGTATTTTAAAAATAACATACGCAGATTCCTGCACATCATTCTTGTGCACACTTACCAATCTGAGACTGTGCCACCATTGTGGATTTTCGATCACATAGTGGGGAAAAGGGCAATCCTAAATCAGCCTCACTATCACCCTGTATAGAAAATTATCAAAATTAAAGAAAGTACTATAATATCAGAGAATAGTTATATATTCTTTAATGAAGAATAGATAAAAGCAAATAAAAACCAAAAGAACTGCGGATGCTGTAAATCAGGAACAAAAACAAAGTTGCTGGAAAAGCTCAGCAGGTCTGGCAGCATCTGTGGAGGAGTAAAAAGCAAATGTTGATTTGGTAGAGCAGAGGGGTGACAGTGAAAAGATTTCCATTATTTCCTATTCATCCAGACCTGGCACCAGAGCAATGGCATCAGCTTGATTACAACAAGCCTGTATTGTAAAGAAAGAATATGTAGACCAACATCAAATAATTGTGGTTCAAAATTCTGCACATGGCCACAATGGAAGGACACACTAAAATTGTCTAAACCAAGCTAAGTTTGTTTTTGCTTCCTACAGTCACCTAAGATGTAACTGACATTATCTGAATCAACAATTTTGATGCTGTGGTTTCCAGGCTTAAGTCAGGCTTTTAACAAGGATGGCATTGGGAGAGCAGTGTGATTTAATTCAGAAGCAGCTGGAACTGGTTTCTTATTAAATGGGTCAGCTAGGCCTTTGTTTTAGGAACACATTAAACTAACCAACTTAGAATGACTGAGCACATGACTGCAACCTACAACAGAGTGCTAGAGTTAGGTGATGAAGGGAGTTCAACTTACAATAGAGTACCAGTGTTAGGTGATTAAGGGAGTGTATTTACAACAGAACGGTAAGCTCTCCTGTAGTGCTGTGGTATTGTCCCTATTCCTGGATCAAGAGGACCGGGTTCAAGTCCCACTTGCTTCAGAGGTGTGTAATAACATCTCTGAACAGATGATTAGAAAAATAGGCTAAAATATAGTGCTGGAGTTAGGTGATTAAGGGAGTTACAACAGGAAGGGAAAGTAGTGTTGTGTTGCTTTTTCTTTTTCTAACTATTTTTCATCATCCAGGAATTGACTCTCACTCTACCGTAGCAGAAGTGTTGACAAGTGCTTGGGTACTGATGGACTTAATCTTGGGGTGTTAGAACAAGTGTCTAGTGACATAGTTAACCTATTGATTTTGCTGTTCCAAAATTTCCTTGATTTGGGGATGATCCATTAAATTTGAAAACAGCAAATGGAACTCCTATATTCAAAGTGTAAGGAAGACAGAAAGCAGTAAACAGCAAAGCCAGTTATGCCAAAAGTCAGAAGCTGTTACTAAATGATTACAGAAAACCACTTAGATAAGTTCAAGGTAATCAGGTACAGTTAACATGCTTTTGTGAAGCATGTTAACTAACCTCATGAAGTTCTTCGAGGAGGTAATATGTGGAATAATGGGGAACTCGTGGATGCACTGAGGCATTTGATGAAGTGCCACATTCAAAGTTGTTGTGGAAAAGGTCATGATGCAGGGGGTATTATATTTATATGGAGAAATGCTTGGCTGTCAAACAGGAAGCAGAGAATTGGCATAAATGGGTCTTTTTCATGTTGGCAAGGTGCAATGGGTGGAATGGTACAAAACTGATGCTGGGATTTAAACTGATTACAATTTATATAAATGACTTAGATGAAGGACAGAAAGTAAAATTTACCAAAAAATAGAGATAGTGATAAAAGTAAACTGTGAACAGGACATAAGGAGGCTATAAAAAGATAGGTTGATTGGTTAAGTGAGCGGGCAATGACGTGGTAAATAGAGTATAATGTAGAACAATGTGAAATTGTTCATTTTGGTAATACACCAAACTTGAAATCTAAACTGAATGGCAGCAAATAGATCAGTGGTGAGATTTTATCTCATTTAAAACCCATTCATTTATACTGAATTCAAATTAGACTCCAAATTTATGTTTCAATATTTTGATGGTTGAAGTCCATGGAAGATGGAGCATGTCAACGAATTAAATTACATGCTGCATCTTGATTGGACGGCTTACTAAGGTGTGGACAGAATTATAAGGCAACAGCTTGGCATGTACAAGTAGTAAATGTAGAACCACACTTTACGGTAAAGAACTTGGGTCATGATGGGCTCACAGGACAAGATGCAGGATCAAGAATCTCAGTCCAGACTAAGTATCTACTAATGGTACAAAGGAACCGGCTGTGCATAAGATTAGAATGGTCAAAATCTCATTGTGGTCTCATAATCCCAATATCAATAAGAAAACAGATCAAGGCTGTGAAGAAAGAATATCACAAAGCTGCATCCAGCTGCAGAAATTGCCACTGAAACTCTCCACTTTGTGAACTCTTCTGTTTCACAAGGCCCTCTCTTATGCTAATTTCCACTGATCCTGGCAACAGTTGTGCCTTCTAATTCTCTTTCGAGCCTGTCCCCTCTGCCCACTATTCACCCCCTTAAATACATTGTGAGAATAACTACAGGAAACTCAGACCTGCATGTTCCCTGGCTCTATATGCAAGTGAGCTGATTTGGATGTCAGACTGTAGACGAGGAGTAAGTCTAAAACCTGAAGCAGTTCAGGACTTCCATTCTGTGGCAGAAATGAGTTCCTCCCTAGTTAGCTGCCCTAAAGAAAAATACTTGGCATAATCATGTCTGGAAATGGTTTGGAAGTTTTGGGCTCAATATGCAAAATTTTCTTTTTTGCCTCACAGCGCCAGAGACCCGGGTTCAATTCCACCCTCGGGCGACTGTCTGTGTGGAGTTTGCACGTTCTCCCTGCGTCTGCGTGGGTTTCCTCTGGGTACTCCAGTTTCCTCCCACAGTCCAAAGATGTGCAGGTTAGGTGGATTGGCTAAGCTAAATTGCCCATAGTGTTCAGGGGTCTGTAGATTAGGTGGGTTATAGGGGGATGGGTCTGGGTGGGATGCTCCAAGAGTCGGTGTGGACTTGTCGGGCCGAAGGGCCTGTTTCCACAGTGTAGGGATTCTATGATTCTATGATACCATGAACGAAAACACTCCTAATTATGTACAATGTTCACATGATAGGACATTGACTTTAGAAAACAGATTTTCTACGGCAAAATGCTTGCAAAAATGCTCCTCTTGTGTGTGTAGTGTGTCTTTTCATAACACATCAAACGCCTTTACCTGTCTAAAGAATTCTTCCATCAGTGTCATTGTCCAGCGGTAGTGCTGTTGCCAGGTTTTTGCAGGATGACTTATATCTGCTGCATGCAGCATTAGCGACATGACTTTAGCTTTGTCAGCCCTGAGAAATCAAGGACACACATTTTGTTGCATATAAGAATTGTTGGTGGGTATTGTGTGAAGCGTTATAACAAGTTTCCCGTTTTTAAGCAAAAAAAAAGTCTAGAAAAGGAGATTGTCTCACCCTTCAGGCTGCTGTAAAGTGTTTTTCATGGTCTTGATTTGTTGAAAATGACAAGACATGTCAGTCGATAAAACCATCTCTATCACCAATGAACGCAGCTCCCTGTTTGATTTATAAAACATGATGCTATGACTAGCTGATTGACAATGCTAAATATGGGAAAAGATCTGGCAGCTAGCTTCCTTTCCATGTCTACAATAAAAGAATGGAAAAATATATAAAAATGTGCTGAACTTCTAATGTTCCCACGACTAAAGGAATGTCAACACTGAAGTATGGTTCACCAGCTGAAATGCCAGTGTGTCTGAATATTCTTGCTCAAGCTGATTGTATTTAAGGTTAAATCTTGTCCTTAAGTTAAAGAAAGTGACTTCTTTGCTATTTTGGTCAATTGATTTAAGCCGGAATGATGCTAAGAAGCAGTCAACCTCTAACTATTAAAAGACTCCAATGCCTTTGCACCAGAATCAAATGAAACTCATAGTACAAATGGCAGACTTTCAGCTGCCAGATGCCCACTCTTTGCCTGAATACAGGAAACTGGCAGTTGAAAATCTGTTCAATATAATGAACAGATTGGCAAACTCAAATGGAGTGTTTTCTTGGCACCTACTCATTGACAAAAATACTATAGAGCTAGGAACAGGAGTAGGATATTGACTGTTGGCTGTTCGACCATTCAGTTAGATCATAGTTAATGTGCATCTTTGCTTTGCCTGGCTGCCTTGGTTCCAGAATCCTGACAGTCTTAGAATCAAAGAATCCCTACAGTGCAGATAGACGCTATTTGGCCCATCGAATATGTACCAACTCTCTGAAGAGCATTCCAACTAGACCCAAACCCCTCCTTTTACCATGGCTAGCCCACCGAACCTGTAAATTCCTGGACCCTATAGGCAATTTAGCATGGCCGATCCACCTGACCTGCACATCTTTGGACTGTGGGAAGAAACCGGAGCACTCAGAGGAAACCCACCCAGATGCAGGGAGGACACCACACAGCCAGTCACCCAAGGATGGAATTGAATCTGGGACCCTGAACCTGTGAGGCAGCAGTGCTAACCACTGAGCCACAATGCCACCCGTCTTGCCTGACAAGTTTTGAAATTTTCAATTGACCTAGCACCAATAGAGTTCTGTGGAAGAATTACAGATTACCTTGTGTCAAAAAATCTTTCCTGATATCTTCCCCACACATCTTAGCTCTAACTTTAAGGTGATGCCTCATTGTTCTGGACCATCCCACCAGAGTGGATAGATGGTAATGCGGTATTGTTCATATTGTTTCCAAGGAGAAGCTCCAAGCTTCAACCTGATCCTGAACAGTTGTTTGGTGTTCCTGTATACTGAAATCTTTTTCTTCTGGTCTGTAGACCATAAGAAATAGGAACAGTAACAGGCCATTCAGTCCCCTCGAGATTGCTCCGTAGGATCTATAGTTGAGATCTTGAGAATAATTTGGGCTCAAAAACCACTGCAGAAATGAAGTTGTCTCTTCCTGGGACTGGATCTTTGGGAATGAGAAACTACATTATCTGCGGTGCTTTTAGATACTTGTGATGGGCTGGATTGAAGACTGAGGTTAGAGCAAAGCGTCAAAAAAAGTCTGGAACTTGGCATAAACTGAAAAGAAGCCAACAGCTTCTCACCCAGTCTTTGAGATGCAATCAAAAAGTCAAGGACTTAAATGCAGCACTGAGATAGTCACGTTGAAGGTTAGAGTTTAGCCCCTCTGTACAATGTAGACAAGGACGTATTAGTGATAATGTGTTCAGCATTCACCCACCTACTAGGTGATCAAATTACATTTAAATTAAAATATCTTTGGTGCTCAAATATTAAAGGTAGCACAAATTTTAGCAAATGTGTAAATACAGCCCTTGTTTCACATTTGTCCACTAAGCACTAACAATTTGTCCTTGAAATCCAGGCAACTCATTTCTATTTTGTTTCATATTTATTTGTTGGCATCTACCTTTGGATTGCTATGGATCTGCAAATTTAGAAAGGCAGACTTTAGTGCTGTAAACTCACTGGTTCATTATTCATCACTTAGAGCATTGAGTTCTGTTAGATTCAACAACTTAGAAAAAGGTAAATGAATAAAAAAATGGCTTTAATTTGTGAGTGGCCAAAAGGTTCATGGTGAATGCCTAGAGGGTGCACGAGGAGATGCTCACTGGAGCAAATTTGAATATTACTGAAAAAAGAGACATATTACCAAGGCTTTCTTCCAGCATTGATCAGGACAATGGATGAAAGCCAAATTTCTAACGAGCACAACAATTTTCTGCACCCTTTTCTCCAGTGATATAAATTATTGTAAATAAAAACTGAAAAAACTGCGAATGTTGAATATCAGAAACAAAAACAGAATTTGCTGGCAAAGCTCAGCAGGTATAGCGACATCTGTGAAGAGAAATCAGAGTTAACACTTTGGGTCCAGTGATGCTTCCTCAGAACTGGGGAAGGGTTACTGGACTCGAAAAGTTAATTCTAATTTCTCTCTGCAGATGCTGCCAGACCTGCTGAGCGTTGCCAGCAATTTCAGTTTTTGTTTCTGATATAAATTATTGTGATAATTTAAGATTTGTCCTGATGAGTGCATGATTAAAGGCTTTGGCAAGATTTCTCTTTTTTCAGCAATATACAAATGCACAGAGATAATCTTAGACCCAGATTCAGCCCCCACCTCAGCACCACAACTCCCAGTTTAAATCATGTCCAGGCATTGTTCACTGCAACATTATTCTGTTTTGAGTAATAGATTATGCATAAAAATCACTACATTGTCTGTTCATGAATTTTGTTGTTCATAATCTATAGATATATTTGAAGTAACTTTAAAGCTTATGTTAAATATTGCTGAAAAAGGGAGACACATTTCTGAAACATTTTGTTTCACATTCTTCAGGACAAATGCGAATGCTGAATTTCAACCAATCACAATAAATAAAACAGGGGAAATGGCTGCTGATTGGGTTTCAAGACAACTCTGATTGTCTAAACCGTTGCCATAGAGAAAGCAACAGAGAGCTGATAGCTCTTGAGGGTCTCTGATAATTCAAAATGGTGTAAGGTTTGAGCTACTTCTTTTGGTGGAGAGAACAGGGCACTGTGTAAGAAGGCATGTTACACACAGCACATGTAAATGAGCCACATTATCAGCTTGACTTGGTCATTAGTCCAGCTATTCACACACACATAAAATGCTGCCCAATTGCACAATCATATCTAGCAGCAAATGTTTTATAAACAAAAACAAAGTTGCTGGAAAAGCTCAGCAGGTCTGGCAGCATCTGTGAAGAAAAAATCAGAGTTAACGTTTTGGATCCAATAACCCTTAAGTTCTGAGGAAGGGTCACCGGACCCGAAACGTTAACTCTGACTTTTTCTTCATGGATGCTGCCAGACCTGCTGAGCTTTTCCAGCAACTTTGTTTTTGTCCCTGATTTACTGCATCCGCAGTCCTTTAGGTT